CAATATTCACTTCACCTTTACCAAATAATTGTTAAACATCTCGCTCAACTTCATCCAATAATTGCTTATTATCAGGAAAATATACATAAGGCTTCATTCTTAAATTAGCAAATATTTGCTTTTTGTGAAAGATGTATGTAAAAATATTCATTCATAGCCAACAAGACTAACAATAACGTAGCTCCATTTTCTGCCTTTAAAAGCACACAACCCACAATTCCTCTATTCGCTCCGACGAAGGGCTAACGCTCAAAACGTCAGCTTTTGTAATCGTTACGGTGGCCAATTTACCATTTCAACTTTGTTGACTGTTCCAAATTATTTTGTTACTCCCACCGATGCAGCCCCAAACAGTTTCTTTCGAAACTATCAGCCTTTATTCAAGACTAAAAATAACCTGCCAAGTCCACAAATGCTACTCTGGGATGTTTAGGATCCTGGTTACTGCAGCCTGGGGACGATCTCCTCTTTCTACGACTTTCCTCTTAAAAACATAATTCATCAGTCAATTAATTATATGTACTCCTGTGCATGGAGACAAACCACACAAAGATATCTTGGCAAATTGGAAACATAGAGAATTTCGAGTCTCAGTATTTCATTCAGAGTCATTCAAAGTTAAAGGAAACAAGTGGGTAAAACACAGAGATAGACAGTATAAACAATAAATGTCGTGCGATACCAAAATCAGTGAGTAAAGGTGGCTCGTACCAGTTTCCTCGCGTGGGGAACAGGTCACTCTTGCGTGAGAGAAACGTGCGAAAAAAGCGCGAGATCAAACGATGAAAATTCAAAAAAAAGATGGCGGCGCGTGGAATTTTTTTCTACTTTTGTGAGAAGTTTACCTAAGAGCTTGTATTTGAAGTGTTGAGCGGCCACTGTGAATGCAGGAGATAGAAAGTGCACGTCACTACACTGTGAGGGGTGAACTTAGTAAAACTCTCGTACAATAATACTGTTTCATCATCCCCTGCTACTACTAGCTTAAAAAAATCTTCAGTTATGTAATAAATGAATTCTTTCATTCCCAAGATCTCATTGTAATTCTCCTTACTGTCCACCATACAATTCTGATGAAATCACGTGCCTGTTTGTATCGTAAAGAAAAAAATTGTTTTGGTTCATCATAGTTAAGTTAAAGGGTTAATTAATTCAAAAAGTGGATTCTATAAAACTGTGAAAAGAAACTAGAAATTGTCCAAATTCCATTATGTCCAGATAAGTCAAGAAAAGAGTCAAATGCTTTCAGTGTTAGTTCTTCGATGTCTTTTGAATTATTACTGAGACCAGTTTTACACAAGTATTGTAATATATACACTATTTCACAGTTCCATGGTACAGACAGATGAAGGATGTAATGAGAAAAAACAAACTTGGGATGCAAGATTTTGTCAAAAAAAAGCCAGCACTTTATAAGAGTTGAAAGAATTTAACAGCATTCTTGGTTGATTCATTTCCTCGTAGAGGAGTACATAAAAGAAAAACTGAATTTTCTGTCACCTTTCATAGTTTCTTGTGGTTCTTCTCCTTCTTTATTGTGACCAGTGGTGGCCATTTCAAGAATGGGTGAACTACCTAAGAGTTAAAGTGCATAGAGCAGTTATAATTATTAATAGCTTTCTTCAAATCGCTTAAAAAGAAAAGATAGCCATAGGCATATTTCTAACATGTTTCACGGTCATGAAAAGATATAATAATATTCTCTCAGAGTTGGTTCTTCAAGACATCATTCGGTTTCTCAATCACTCATCATAAATTATTATAACATAACCAAAGTAAAGTGCATGCTCTGATTGGTCAATTTAGCATCCCCCATTTGCCCACAGGTGTATGCTGCTGACGTGAGCAAATGCAAAGACTATTTTTC